AGAGTACATGGTGAGGAAATAAGGTGTTTTGAAAAGGGTCTGAGCATGTTTGGAGCTGGGATCAGGGCTACGGTCCAGGGTCTAACTAGCATGGAAGGGAAAGTCAGAGAAAGCTACCTACTGGAAGGAGGATTGAGGACTGCTGTGGCCAGAGGGTAAAGTGTCTCATGAAAGATTTCCCAGGGCACAAATTGATTGGAAGACGTTTGGAAGAAATTAAATTTGAACATGTCTGTCCTAATTTCAGCTGCAGACACAGCCTTGTTCAAGACAAAGCAAGGCCACAGGTTGTTGGTGTGTGTGCATGGAAATTAGCATTGCCATATCCAGTGAACTGACAGCAGTATTATGGTCTGAGATTTCTGTCTAGGGCCCTCCAGGGAATGTTGATCTGAGCCCTGATTACCCCCACAGCTTCCTGGCTGGACCCAGGGGGTCTGTGCACAGGGACAAGGTGACTCTGCAGAGCTGTGCCTTGCTGCTGACACAGAAATACACAGCAGAGTCTGCTGGCTGCAGGGCGTCCATGTGAACGTATAAGAGGAGACTGTTTGGACATTCAGGTAAGAAGCAACTCAGAACACTCTTGTTCTCAGCAAGTTCATTATAGTTTTAGACAAACATGAGTTCCAGTGGGTTCTGAGCAAAGTGTTTATATCAGTACATAGAATTATGTCCTAGATGTTGTTTGCATTTCAAAGACTTCTAATTTCTCAACCCCATGATCAGATGTTTTGGTCTCTGGGTAGTTCCAGTGTCCGTGGGGACTGTTGGGGGAAAGGGACAAAATTCAGACAAAGCCCAGAAAGAAAAGTCTTGCTGCAGCATCAGGAAAATGGCTTGAAGTCCAAGAACAGCCCATTTGAACTCAAGACTCACCTGCTCTCAGGTGACAGAGGGCCACACAGCAGAGCGGCCTGCATGGTGGAGTCAGGGCTGTGGTGGCCTGTCTAACTAGGATGCCCTGGGCAATGGGGCTGGGCTCTGGTCTCCTTGGCCTTGATTAGTGGTTTTGCCAGTGACCTTGCCATCCTGACAGTTTCCCCAGCCCCGGGGAATATTTCTTCCTCTCGTTTTCACACCTTATATAGATTCTGATAGAAGGTGGATTTGAAGGGACTGGGCTGGGATATTCCTCTGACAGTTGCTGTTTTGCTATTAGTTGCCACCCTCATTATAAAGATTCTCCCTCTGTCCCCTTCCTTCCAAGACTCCTTCTCTGACACAGACCATTATCCCTTCAAGGGATCTCCTTCCTGCTCTGCTCAGTCACACAGGACAACATCACTCAATACATTGTTTCCCTCATTGTCTAATCTCAAAGGGGCCCTTCTGCCCAGCTGCTGGAAGGAGGAAGACTGGATGGTCATGGTCCCATTCTGGACCAGTGCCCATCACTAAAATTGAACGTCTGTGATGCCAGCCAGGAGCCAGAGACTGGAAAGGGTGCTGAGGAGAACATACAAGGCATAAGCCATCCTCTGCCTCTGTAGCTGCTGTTACCGGGCTTGGACCGGCTGACAGCAAACAGGTTGGTGAAAGAGGACAACATATTAAAAAAGCAAAATTCAACTGAGTAAATTTTAAAGATTTTACTGGCTTTATTCAACGACTCATAAATGGGGCAGCATCCAATCTAGCAGATAGAAAGGGGCTCTGAGGAGCAGTACAAAATGAAAGACTTTTATAGGCAGAAGGGAGCAGGAATAAGGAAGTTAGACTAACAAAATGCAGGTTGGTTTAGCAAGGTCACTTTCCTTTAGGGGATGGCAGGGGTCTAGCAGGCAGATTACCTCACTAGTGCTGACTAGGTGATGCTTGACTGACTGATTTAAGATTCCAGTTCTGGGAGAGCAGAAATTGCAATTCAATTTTGGTTTTGTATTGTGAGGCTTAGCATAAGTAAGTCCACGTTGAGTCTGTTGTCTTGTTTTTTAACAAACGTAAAGCATCTGATACAAGACAAAGGGAAATCAATTTGAAAATGATTTCAGTTTAGTATCTTTGAGATGTCTACTACTGATGCTCCCAACTCATATAAAGATGGAGCCGCAATGCCCTCACCTCCTGCCTCTCTCATCCCCCTGTTCACTCACAATGGCAACCCCACCTCCAGCCTCGGAGCCTCAGAGGCCAGAGCACCTCCTTGTGTTCAAAGCAGCATATTTCCCAGCTCCCAGGGCTCTTACCAGCCCAGGCTCAGCAATCCAGACCTATCCCTCATTCCAGAGATGGGGGCAGCTGTGATGGGCATGAAACTCTAGGGAAGTGTGAAGAGGAGAGAAGCATCTGAAACAACAGAAAGAGCTGGCAACAAACCACTCGTCCACACACCTAGGACACGCGACTTTACTCACCAGAGATGGGCTATGTCTGGATTCTTAGTCACGAGCAAAATAGATATGATCACAGCCCTTGTGATTTTTATAAGCAGCCTGATCTTTTCAACAAATACTCATTAAGCCACAGCTCAGAGCAATCATAAAACACCAACATGTTCACCCACAGAATTCTATTGTAGTAGGGCAATTCATGTGGTCACAGATGGCACTAGAGAACAGAATATGTCCTATATGAAACTTAAGAAACGTATTCTGTATTTCAGGATTCAATGACTTCATATAGGTGACACAGTTTCCTCAACTGTCACAGCAGGGAACTGACATGACACAAGCTCCAAAGCCCTGTCCATTTCTCAAGTGAGAGAAACTACACCAGGCCCCTCAGTTCCACAGAGCTCTCTAGCGTAGATCAGCTGGGATAACTCACCAGGAGTCGTTTCTACTTAACTATGTAACCAGCTAATTATGCTCTTTGTCTGTTTAGTTATTAAACTTGCTTCTGTTTTCTTAAAAGTTACTGTTATGCCACTATCGAGTTTTCATTCTAGAAAATTTGAAGGTATGAATAAATACTAAAATGAAATGAGCCACAATTGTTCAATGATTCTTACCACTTATTTATTATGTTAGACATTTAGTACCAAACTGGAATAACAAGACTCTATGTAACTCTATGTTGGGTGTAGGGAGGGTAGTTACCCATGCTTTAAGTCAAAAGTTGATAATCAAATTTTTTTGTAAACCAGGGCTGTGCTGAGTCAGAAGGAAAATATTAACGTATCTCTAATGTAATAAGTTTTATCAGATTTTCAATATAGGCCATAAAAGAAAAAAGAAGTAAAGGTATATGGCTTAAAATTTAAGAAAAAAGTTGGATATTCTCCCACTGAACAGATTACATACATGACAGACCTCTAATCCACTACACTTAATGACATTCCATTCTTAGATAAGAACCTAAAATTAACTCTAGTTAAACGTCTAGGATTCCTACTATTAAAATTATTATGATGGACAGCCACTGGAGCAAGAAGAAACTCTGGTCTTTCTACAATAAAACAGAAAAATATGAATAAATAAAATTTTATTCCAGTGTTTGGCTCCTAATGAGTAAGCAACATTCCAAGGACTAAAAAAACCAATGGAATTTAGACAGAAACCTCAAACAAGTGAGAGTGGAAGACTTGGTTGTCCTGAGAACGATAGCTAATGTAAGCATCTCCTGAAGCAAGGGGTAGGTGAAAGGTGAGATTAAGTTATCTGAATCAGAAATGTGCCTGAAGAAGGAAAATAATCTAATGAGAGTCTGAATTGCAACAAGGAATAGTGAAGAAGTGGAAAGGTAAACATGTAAGTAAATTCACATAAACATGGCCAATATAAAATAGTAATAGCATATGTTGATTAGAGATAGAAAGAAAAGACATCACTGATTCCAAGACAGCTGGGATTGGGGTTCAGAGCAATGAAAAAGAGCCCCAAGAATATGTATAAGGAAATTCCTCCTTTTTCTTGGCCGATTCCTAATGCATATGCACAGAGTGGGACTCCAGAAGGCTGAGCAGGGAACAGGGTCTGGAAGGCTGGAGAGCTGAGCAGAGATTTCAGAAGACACTCAGCTGGAAGACACCTGCATTCAGACCCGGTTAGAATGAAAGACACTGGAGATTGTGCTCTGATTCCCACGGACACCCCCGAAAGGCTATGCACTAGTGATAGTGACAACACACTGGGTCTCCCTAAAAGGGAAGGCAAACCTGAAATAGATCCTAGCAAATCCAACATTCAAACCTGCCAGAATCAAATCTAACACGCTTTAGAAGAACAGGACAGAATCCAGAGCTTCTGCTCTATACCATCCACAGTGCCCCATATGAACGCTTTTATAATCTTTCACGTAGAATACTTTAGCAGTCTCCTAAGTGTACATTCCACCCCAAATATATCTCCCTTCTGATCCATACGACCAGCGACATTGTACCAAAATATGAATTTGATCATGCTGTCTCACTTACGGTGTGACCAATGGCTGGCTACTGCCTAGAGATTTGTGTCCAAAGTCCTTTCCATGCCTCACAATATCCTTCATCATCTGGCTGCTTCCCCTTCTTGAGGAGGCTTCAAAGATGACACTCAGTCAGAATTGGGAAGAATCGTCCTGGTCATCCTTCTCGAAGGCAGGGAGTCTACAATGCACGTGCTCCCTCCATCAACGCTTCTCCCCCACCCTCTCTTCCAGTTTACCTATCGCCATGGACTTGCATGCTTCTCCAAATAGTTTTCTATAAACAGTGAACTCGCTGATAATCTGGATTTCCTTTTGGTCTTAGAAATTTTATCTTGGCTTCATCTTCCTTTAGGCTTTTGCTCATCAAATAGTTTTAGCGAATAGTGTGTTTTCAATCATAATGTTATGTATACTGTGCATCCATATGTATAGCAGAGAAAGGTAAGGAACGGCTTCTTCCACCAGTTAAGAGCTTTGGTGCAGGAGATGGGGTCCTTTCTTGTTTGTGGAGCCTCGAGGACTCTAGTGAATTGATTGTGAACTCCTGCTTTACCTGATAAGTAGAATTCTATGTGCATAAAGTATAGAACTGCCCTGTCAGGTGTACAGGCAGGCTGTCCTCATACAGACTGAAACTCCAGTCAGGGATCTCACAGAGGGTGAACAGATCTGCAGGGGCAGGGGAACATGGTGCCCCCACAGCTTCCTGTCTGGCAAAGAGGTTTTTGCACAGGGAGGCAGTGACTTTGCAGGGCTGTGTCTTGGCTGCTGGCACAGAAATACACAGCAGAGTCGCTTGGCTCCAGGGAGTTGATGTGAAGGTTTAAATGAGCGTTGTCAGGAGCGTGAGGTGAGAAACGATTTGAAGCTGTTTCATTGACAATGGGTTGCTTATTATTGTAGGAAAACATGATCTTCAGCAATTTCTTGGAGTCCTGGACATACCAGTACATGGCATTATGGCTCAGATTTTGCTCACATTTTAGGGTCTTCTCATTTCCCACCCGTGAGATGAGGTACTTTGGAGTCTGGGAAACTGCTGTGTCCAAGGGGCCTGAGAAGGAAAGAAGCAGAATTCAGACAAGCCCCAGGGGTCAGCCTGTTGCTGCAGGCATGATGGACAGCCTTAGAGACTCCAAGAGGGATTGTGCACCAGGGCCCAGGACTCACCTGCTCCCAGGAGGCAGAGGGCCACACAGCAGAGGAGCCTGGAGCCCATGTGGAGTCAGCGCTGACCAGGCCAAGCCCTAGCCCCAGAGTCTGGTCTCTGTGGTAAGAAAATCAGGCTGCAGTGCTCCAGGGCCCTGACAGGTGCTTGGCCTGTGATGTCACAGCCTCGAAGAATTTCCCCGTTGGCAGGCTGTCCTCTAATCTAACTGTTTCTGCTCCTTTTTCAGGTCCCGAGCTTGCTCCTTTCAAAGACCTGTTTGGAATTTCTAGGGATAGTTTGAGGCAGTGGGTATGTTGCCTCAAGGATGTTTCTCTGATGGTCATTCTTGTGCCAACAGCTGCCTCCCTTCCCCCCCGCCCTCCTAGGAGCTTGCCACCTCCTCCCTTCCTGCCTTGGGGCTCCTCTCTCAGAGCAGGCTAGTTTCCTTCTCTGCATTTTTTGCTTCTCCTTCATGATAATGCAAGGCAATCCCACCCACATCCTGGGTCCTTTGAATATGGTTTGTGCTCCGTGGCCCCCTGAGTAGTTCAGTTGTGGGCAAGAGATTGCTCTGAGGTTTCCCTGGAGACCCAGCTGCAGACCATTTAAATTGCACGAACTGATGTCAGCTAGGAGCATGAGGAGTCCTTGAGGGAATAAACCACAGCCCTGCTCCCTGTGATGTTCTCATCTGCCCCAAAGGCAGAGCTCTGTGGGGAGAAAAGGCTCCTAGGGACTAAGAAGTCACATGTGATAGCAAGGAGGTTGTGACTGTGAGACACAGCAAGGCAGCTGGGGAAAGATTAAGTGGATAATTTTACTGGCCTTGCATTGTCTACAAGCCACCTTTTGTACAAAGTTTACACTCAAGGCCTAGCCCAGAGTTTCTCAACCTTGGCCCAGTTGACATATTGTGCTGGATAATTCTTCATTGTGGGGGCTGTAGGATGTTTAGCAGCATCCCTCATCTCTATCCACCACTTTCCAGTGTCACTCCCCATCTGCAGTTGTGATAACCAAAAATGTTTCCAGAAGTTGCTGAATAGCCCCCAGTGAGAAGCAAAGTCCTCTTTATTTCTTCCAAAAGTCCTTCCCCTCCTCCAGCAGCCTCAGGGTGTTGGGAGGGCCACAGCTCCTCCTAGTGGTCAGAAAGAGGCAGTTCCCAGATCTCAGTGCCCTCCTGGATTGGGCCTCAGCCCTTAGTAAATCCAAGTCAGCAAGGACCAAGAGTAAGACCAGGGAGCCACAACTGCCATGGAGGCATCTGAGTCACACTCACACACACACACACAACACCACTAACTGTCAACTACTGGTGAAAGCCCTCCAAAGACAGACCCAGGAGGTTCATTTGTTTTTTTATTAAACACAAAACAAGCACTAGGGATGCAGTAGTGACAAAATAGAAACGACCACCTTCCCTCCTGGAACTCCCAGCATGCTTTACTGTTTGCAGTCACTGAAAGGCTACTTGGTGCAAAGCATGAGCAAGACAATATTCTCACTCGCATGATGCTTATATTCTGATAGGAGCAAGAAGAGATTCACACATTACCCTAGACTAGAAATATAAAATATGTGTTATATGGAGGTTAGGAATATAATCAGTATCAACACAGTTAAGTACCATCATTGATAGGGCTTCCCATTTTCTCAACTGCAAAACAATTGGCTCAAATAACTACTTTCCAATTCTCTGTCCAGTTTAAAATTGTATGATCCTAATCATGGGCACTCCTAGATGCTGAACGAACTAGTAGGTCTTACGCATCCGGTGTTCCAAGTCTGTACCTCATTGTGCCACACAGCTTACATGGGAGGCTTTTCAAAGAAAGGAGGGGAGTGAGGGAGGATGATAGAAGAAAAGAAGGAAATAGTAAAAATCAAAACAGACACTAGGCTACGTATTATAGTGATTATATTTCAGCCTATAAAGAAATAACCTTTCTTAAAGAGTGGGTTTCACGTGAATTATTTTCTTTAGTGTTTTATGTAAACGCTCTTGAAAACTCAGGTGCACATCATCCAGGGGAGATTGGGATGAAACTGAGATGAAGACACTGGCCTCACATGAGGTAATGTTGGTTCTGCTTGTTTTATTTTTTTTCTTAAGAGAGTTGGAAAACAAGATTTTTTCATTCTTTATCAAGGATTTCCCAAAGGATGGAATGGAACAAAGAAATGGATTGTCTGCACCTTCTTTTCTGACAGGTCCAGCTGAACTGGAGAAGGGGAAGCCTCTACGGAAAGAGCAGAGGGCTGATCCTGGGCTGCCGGGGGAAAAAGGGCTCAATCCCAGCAGGAAAGTGAAGGAGGGAAGAAAAATGCAATAATTTTAGCGTAAAGATAACTTCATTCACAGAAAGTAAGAAAATCACAGGACCAGTGCGGATGAGGCAGAAGCCTAGAGAAGAACTAGAACAAAGGGGAAACATGTTCAGTGATAATAGGGATGTGTATTTTGGACATTGTTCTTATTTTTGGCTGTCTAAGATTTAAACTCTGTCTTTTACTTGGACAATTTCCCAAGTTTTGGTATTAGTGGTAATAGTCATGTGTGTTGGTATGTTTTAAGTGAAATCTTCCTTCCATCTTGGAGACAAAACCTCCATCACTGCCTCTGCTTTTGGTGACTTCAGAAGAACACAGCTCCACCTGGCAGAGCTGTCTCCTTCTACCAGCTCCCTAAGAACTCAGGGCTGGGGAACCAGGCTGTGTGCTCCGGCGGAATGGCATGGAAGGAAAATCTCTTGGGCCAAGTTCTGTCAAATTTAGTTACCTGAGCACAGACTCCCATGAAGATTTCAGTTTCATCAGATCCCGTCTCTCTTTACTGGTGCTCAAAATTAGTTTCTCACGCCTGCAAGGAGAGAGGGGCCAAGATCTCCCATCCATTCTGTTCAGGAAGCTGCTAGTTACTTGTGGCTCTGATTTGAAAAGAAAAAAATGCTCTTTATTTCTGAAAAAAATAGAATAGTTAACATTCATATCAACTCTTGTAATCAAATGCCTACAGGTGAACCAATAGCCATGAATTTTCCAAATGAAAATCTAGATGAAAACCAAATGGGACAGTCTGCCACAGGTCATTTGTCCCTCACCTTACAAGTCATCGATTCATGTTCTTTGCCCATTTAGCTATTGAAATCTCATCTATCCACTTAAAACATTTATATTTATTATTCCTGTTATTATATAGATCATAAATGTTTAATCTTTAAGTCATATGAAACTAACATAAAAACACTAAGAAAAATTTAATGCAATGCATAGGCATTATTTGTTAACTTTCAACAATTATTCTACGTCACCTTATTTATGTTGTTAGGAAGAAGCCGTAGATGTTTCATAGTGGTGGATATAGGGAAAGTCTAGCGGCGCCCTGAATTCCCAAGGCTTTAGTTAAATTTAGTCATGTAGAATATTCAATATTAAGCTTAGAGGTGTGCATTCCTGAATTTTCAGTTTGTAACTTTAATGGATTTTGAAAGTGGCTCATAATACAGAAAGTTAAGAATTTTAGATAAGAGCATAGACTAATGAGGTGATTATCTTTAGCAGATTCCTCTGTTCCATTCTAAGATGAACTGGAAAATTAACCTCCACTGAGTGGCTAACAATTTTCCTGTTAAACTGTTTGTCTAGCAAGACTTTCATTTCAGGCCGTATGGTAGAATATATCGATATTCTGACGCTTCCTCTTACTCCAAATAACTGGGACTAATATAAAATGTAATTTTGTGGCATTCTTGGATTTCCAAGGAACAAGGGGAACTCCATTTTTTTTTTTAAAAGAGGTGAATCAAGAGCCTTTGGCAAAAACGAAATGAAAAGTCGTGGGTCAGATCTGCCTTCTGATGTCTGTCTTTTCTCTCTCTAGATATTTCAATGGCAAGTGTTTTCGTGTCTGGACAATTCTAGCTTCCATGGGTTAATGGAGACAGAGATAGAAGTTGGAGATAGAGTCCAGAAGGAAGTCTGGTGCCGATATTTTCTTAGAACTATTTTATCAAGCCCAGAAGAGGGTTTTCCTATCATTTCTCAGAACTCTGCTGCTCCAAGAACTCAGAGGACAGCCCGCAGAGGGTCAAGAATAAAACCCTTTCTGACTTAACTCTCTGATACTCTGAAGTGAGGGGAATGGGGCTCGAAGTCTCCTTCGGCTGTAAGTATATGTCCCTAGGTTATTACTATCCCTGCAAGGTCCCTAAGGAACCCCTGGCCCGTCAGGCTCGCTGTCTGAGCCCCAAGAGCTCACATCACAGCAGCGCTCTGCTCCACTGGGCTGGGCTGAGCTGAGGCAGAGGCCCAGCCCCAGAGCCCCTCTCCTGCTCCTCTCAGGAAGGGGCCCTCCTCCTGTACCTGTCTGTGGGCTCCTACCTTCCACATTTCAAACCCTCTCCTTTCTAATCCCATGCAGGCTCATGTGCAACAAATCTGGCAGTCCAGGCTCTTTGCTGGGACAAGAACACCTGCAGATCAATGCAGAGCAAATAGTCTATATTTAATCCCTCACATTTCAGCACTGACTCACAGCCTCTGCAAACCACCTTCTCCCATGGTGCAAACAAACCTTGACATTCTCTTAACCCTCTCCCTTCCGGGTAGTTCTCTCAATCCTCCCTCAGAGATCCCTGAATCTTATAGAGTCACAATTCCTCCTTGTGGCTAAATGGCCAGTGGTGCCAGGACTCAGTTCTCCTGCTATGAAGCAAGGACAGCAGGATGGTAGAGGTCTTAGAGATAGGGCCGTACAGTCAGAAGGTTGTAATTAGCTCCTGGCCCTTCCATCTCAGACTGATTCCTCAGTAGACACACCACTGAGGACCTGGGCCCACAGCATGAGCAAGGCAGTAATGGGAACCTCCAAGCTCAGGCTTCAGGGCATCAGGAAGAAAGGGGCCTTCCTGAAGGATGCTGGAATATTGATATCATTGCCTCTGAAAGCACCCTCAGCCTTAGAAGCAACTTCACAGCAGAGGAAGAGCCTTAGTCTCAGAGCAGACCCAAGACTGACCAGGATTCTCTCCCCCACAGGTCAGGCAACGTATGTGGTCTGAAGCCAATGCCAAGGAGTAAGCTATGGGTTCCGTAGGCCCTCCCAGGAGATTCTGAAACCCAGGAATGTTGATCCCAGGGACAGAGACTGCAAGATGACTGTTAGATAGTCTCTCTCCATTGTTAGTATGTTGGCAGGGGGTGGGGGATCAGACTTACAGATTCTGCAAAAAGTGAAGTGCATGAAATGTTTCAGTTGTTCCCAGCCAGAGATTGTGTATGCCATACCTTTTGGGTACATTATTAAATATGTGGGGTGTTTTGATTATCCCAATTATTGGCGAGGTTTTAAACTTCATGTGATACATAGGAAAACCCCATTCAGAATAGAAATGTCCCCCCAAATGCTAGTTTGAGTCCCTGTTGATAAACACTGAAAGAATTAAGATTTAAAATGACAGAAATTCACTAGCCCTGTATTTTGGAAGAAGCTGGGGAAGGCCTGTTCCCTCATGTAGGAATTCAGGGAAGGTATTCCAAAGATCTGTAAAGCCAAAGATTCAGAGAGAAAAGTTTAAATGGTAGGATGCACATGGGGTTACTAAAACAAGTGACAGAAGGCTCCACTCTTCCCTCTCTTCAGTCTCCTCCCACCGAAAATACAAATTCAATGAGTATAAAGTTGCAATTATACAAGCTGAATAAGTTCTAGAGATCTACTGTACCGCAGAGTCCCCTAGTTACAGCACGATGTGGCACCTAAAAACTTGTTAAGAGGGTAGATCTCAGGCTGTGTTCTTACCACACACACGAGAGCAAGGGGACTCCGGAAATCTTTTGGGGGTGATGGATATGTTTATTACCTTGATTGTGGGGAAGATCTTAGTGTGTGTGGATATGTCCAAACTCATCAAGATGTTACATTAAATATCTCCAACTTTTTTTTTGCTGTTCTCAAACACTACACCTTCTCCACACTCCACACTCAGATATTCTCTCTCTCTCTCTCTCTCTCTCTCCACACACACACACACACACAGACACAAAACACACACAGAAACATTCACAGATGTCTCAATCAGAGAAACTGTGGCTTTTCTCTCTCCACACCTCCTTCCACAGGGCTCCACGGATTTGGCGGGGTGGAGAAGAGGAGGCTCTTGCAAAAGTTCTTGTTTGGGTCTCTGATCTCTGCCCAGCACTGTGTAACTAGCACCACAGAAATAGAGGCTGCTGTCTGCAGGATGCACACTCATCACCATCAGATTTGAAAATGTTTGGTTGGGGTGGCTGATGGGAAATTTGGCCTCAGTAAAACCTTGTTGATATGTGGCACTGGAGCCATGATTAGAAGTTGCCATCAGTGTGAGGCTGTGTTTTGGCAACTGATGATACCAAAGCATAGTTCTGGCCTGAAAGTCCATTGAAAAGCACGTGATCTTCACGGAGGTTCCATTCTTGCAGACACCCCTGCCTGGATGTTGAGAGATGAGAGCATCAAGCCTAGAGCCTGCTGAAATAGAGGTCAAAGAGATGGAAGAAGCCAGAAGAACCAGTCAGACATGACCACAGGCAGAGAACCCACAGCCTCCCTCCCTCACCTTTCTCCCAGCTCCCAGAGAATCCTATTTGTTTTACAAAATCTTCCTGTCAGACTCCCTAGGATCATAATCCCCCATCTCCCCGACTGGTGACTTCTCCCCTTACCCTTTGCATCCCCAGGGGGCATGGATGTCCCCTCTCATTGCGATCAGCAGAAAATCCCCACAATCTCTGGCTACCACTTCACTCATGCCAACACACATGCACACTCGCCCAAGCTACTGATATAATAAGGCTCATACTGGGCCCCAGAAGCAGCAGGAGCATCCGCATCTTCAGGGGTTGGTCTCATACCACCTTCTCTCAAGAGAGGTATGACTATGCTCTTCTTTCCTCCTTTCTCCACCCCTAGAAAGATATATGATGCACTTACATAATCCTGAGGATGCTCTAATCTGCTCCCTGGTTGAATTCTTTGGCCATTTCACTCAAGTTGCATGAGTTTTGTAGGCTGTATCATGGAGCCGTAAAATGCAAGAAGAGGCCACACAGACATCTAGCTCCAAAGTCTCATTTTATGGAAGAAAAAATTGAAATCTATACAGGTGAATAAGAACATATAAGCTTTAATAATTTGTGAGAAAATGAATGTAGATACATGGTGAGTAGCAGAGAGAGGAAAAGCAGGACATTGTAGTTAGACGGTAAGTGGCCCAGATGACAGTTTTTAGTTTCTCTGATTTTTTTACTTAAAATTACCAGAATCAAATCTTGGACAGTACTTCTTAGGCTCTTGTTTAAAAAGTTGGAAGCATGTGATGCTGTTGTTGACTATACGTAGTGATCTAATAAATGATTGCTGAGTAGGAATGTCTATCTATGTCTTCTTCAAAATTAAAATCAGAACACATTCTCATCCTCTGAATCAGGCCTCTCATAGCTGGCAGATGCCAATTTCTTTTTTTTTTTTTAAAGATTTTATGTTTCCTTTTTCTCCCCAAAGCCCTCTGGTACATAGCTGTGTATTTTTAGTTGTGGGTCCTTCTAGTTGTGGCATGTGGGATGCCGCCTCAGCATGGCCTGATGAGCAGTGCCATGTCCATGCCCAGGATTCGAACCAGCGAATCCCTGGGCCACAGAAGCAGAACGCGCAAACTTAATCACTCAGCCACAGGGCTGGCCCCACCAATTTCTTCTTGCACTGATGACCTTTATTCACTCATGAATCCACTTATTCAAGCAGTCATCATAAATATTTCGATCTAGTAAAGACCATAAGATACATATTCACTTTTAGAAAGCTGTTCTAGTAGATTCCAGAAATCCTTTCTGTTTCATAGAAGATGCAGTACCTGTATTTTTTTATTAATATTAAAAATGTAGGGCAAATTCTAGTAATTTTAATACACCTTCCAAAGTGCAACATCTAGTTTTTGATATAAGTCCCATTTATGTGCCACTTAAACAGCCCATAGACAGATTTATCTTAGGTAAAACAGTTAAATACATTGTGAATAATGTATGTCCCAGTCAATTCATTTGTCTTCAAATGTGACACAAATTTTTAGCAGTTCTAATCTTCCCTAGTTGGTCAGAAAACTGTGAGGCGGCATCAACTTGCCTACAAGGGCAGTTTCTTCTTCTTAGGGCAAGGAGTCTTGAGAATGGGTCTACATCTTGCCTGGGCCTGCTCTTTAATGTATTTCTAAATTTCCAACTTAGATTAAAAGAAAACAACAGAAAAAAGTTCCTATTGATCTGCTGAAGAGAACAGAATGTGTGATTAAGGTAATTCTGGGAAAATACCACAAACTGAATGTCAGTGTAACCACTTTTCTACCCTTGGCATAACTGTTAATGGGTTTTGTAGTTATATGTCCAACTTCTGTCTACAAAGGAGATAATGACAGCTGTAAACCCACTTCCTATTGTTGTTGAAGGAGGGGAGGGAGGTCTAAGAAGGTCCTTGGATCTGGGAAACAGAGAGGTTTATGAACAGAAAGGAGGTAACACTTTAGCTCTGTGTCTCTTTTGCTGGCACAGAGATACACTGCTGGGTCCCCCACGCCTGGGGAGCAGATGCTAAGAGAACAGAAGGAAGTGTTAGGCTGGCTGGGTTGGAAGTTGTCGGAGGTGTCTGTTTCATTGTTAAATTCTTTATCGTAGTAGGAGAACAGCAGCTTTGGAGCTTGGCTCGGCTTCTGTTGGTTCCAGTACATGTACTTATGATTCAGATTCGGAGAACAGCTCAAGGTCACTGGTTTTCCCTTCCTGGCAACCTGGTATCTTGGCTTCTGGGTGACCATGGCAGCCATGTGACCTGCAGAGAGAGGAGCAATATTTAGAGACAGAGTCAAGAAGGAGATGAATGTTGCTGCCATAAAATGAAGGCACATAACTGAGGACACAATAGCTTTAGTCAAAGATGTTCTCTCTGACCAGGACTCACCTACTCTGAGGAGACAAAGGGCCACACAGTAGAGAAGCCTGAGATCCATGGCTGGTCCAGGACAGGAATAGGGTGTCTGTCTGTTCCAGACTTTGATCACTGGGTTGAGAGTTTGGAGTTCAGAGAGTCCCTGGTCCCTGATAGGTAGATCTCCCTGTGATGACAGTGCTGCTGTTGACCTCACCACGGCGAGGATCACTCCTTGGTGTGATATTAGACACAGCTTCCTACTTGTCAGGGGAGTCTGGGCTTGGCTAGATCAGGTATGAAGCAGATGTGGTGTTCCCTTATTTGTCCTTGTTGCTATATCTGCCCCAGGTTCATTCAGGCCTCTCCATCTCACTCCTAGTTTCTTACATCCTATAGGGCAGTTCAGAGGTTCCTTAACACATGAATGGCTTTTCTAAAGTCTCACTTACAGACCTGAATTGATAACGTCTTTGTGTTCTGTTATCCACATCACAGATGGATGACTGACGTCTGCAAACTATCCCCACATTAGTACAGAAATCAAGGCCTGGAATTCCTCTATCTAGATTCACTTTTCAGAATATCAAGGAAATTCTCTACAACTTTTGGCTATCAGTGACGCCATAATGCCTCCTTGGGGCCAATAGAAAAGTGTCTAGAAGCAGCCTTCATACACTGTGTGAGCCTGTGCAATAGGGTGAGATACAATACGGCTTAGAACTGTATCTAGTTCCTCATTCTGCTGCTACTGGATCCATAACCCTCAGACCATCACAACCCCAGTGTCCTGGCCTCACTATGAATAACGTAGTCCTACTGCAGCAGCAGGAAGTGACCTCAGAATGTTCAGGACTGGCTGACACATATCTATATACAGTGCTAACTCATATTTTTTACATTAACAAATCAGATCCTATGGACAACAATGGAAAATTAACTTTAATCTGTAATAATTGACCAGAATTTCTTCTCAAAGCTGAGATTTTAAAAAGTATTTGGAGAAGGATTTTTGCTAGACAAATGTAACAAACTTATCACCACCATTACCATCATTATCAGAAAGCAACCTACAACCAGTAGTAAATACATTCTTATTCATTGTTTTAATTTCCTTCAAGGAGACTTGTTTATCTTATGACAAGAAGGGATATGAAGATGTGGCCACATCAGAGTCACGATTCCTTTCAGATCAGAGCAGTGAGGTTGGCAAGAAGCTGCTGTACTTTACACCAGGATCCACACACACACACTTAAAAAACAGAAATGCGTAGATAGAGTTCTGTGTAAGGAACCTCAGAAATCTCCAAAATCACAAATATCCCCACGCAAATTTTCTTGAAACACTCGTGTATTTCAAGGATAAAATCTGGTTCTCCCTATTTTCTCTTCCTGGGGGACGGGGGCACAAGGAAAGACTTCTTTCTGCTTAGAGCTACCATGAGTTGAGGCAAGAGGAGAGAAGGGTGTGGTTTTACACAGGAAGGACATGACTCTGAAGCACTGTATCTTGGCTGCTGCCACAGAAATAAACTCCAGAGTCCTCCAGCTCTGCATGCTGGACCTTCAGAGTGGAAAACGTCCCTCCAGTCCTTTCAGCTGAGAATCACTCATTGGGCATCCCTGAGTCATCCTGTTTATCCTCTCTTAGGAAGTATTCCAGAAATTTTATTTCTTTCCCTACAGCATGTCGGTACCAATAAAGACCTTCATGTCCTGAAATTGGGTCACATCTCAGAGTCACAGATTGTTTCTTCTCTATGACTCCGTGGCTGGGGAACTGAGTGACTCCAGCTGATGTGTGTCCTGTGGGAAAAGACAAGAACATGACAAGAATGGACAGGGAAAGGGCAAAGTGGAGATATTCAAATTTTTAAGGACATACTTGCTCCCAGGAGACAAAGGGACACCAAGCTGAGAAGCATGGAAACCATTGCAGGATCCGGATAAAACCGAGAACTTTTCCAGATGAGGGAGCTTGTAAGTATGAACAGAAATGAAAGCAAATCCATGTCCCCTTGGAACACACACACCTTAGAAGGTGTGGCCTGGCAGTGAGTTAGCCAATGTCCACAGTCTCAGGAGCTCCCTCTAGGGAGGTAGGAGCATAGAAGAAAGAGCAAGTTTTCTCTGAGGAAGGTTTTCCCTTGAGGGATTCATGGGAAGAACTGATGCCAATAAAAATTGACCTGTTTATGCATTTAAATAAGTATTAACCTCATCTATGTCCATGAAGAAGCCACCATCCATACCTCCTGAGGTCAATGTCTGGACTCTATCCCATACCACCAAGCCCTATCTTCTCTTATGTATCACATCCCTAAAGACTGTGGGATATTTCCACTTAAAGTGCCTACTGTTGCAATTCTTGCTATTTCTAATTATCAATACTTGTTATCTTTAAGTTCTCTTTTCCCACTCTCTCTTAAATGTGCTCCAATCAGGATTTTTCTGCCACCAGTCTCAAAGTCAGCATGTTCAGAAAATGAGAAATTGTCCTTAACTGTGCTCCACCAGTACCCTTCCGGTTGATCCAGCTGACAACTTTGTTGTTGTTGACTTGACCTCTCTGTTGTTGTTGAACTGAGTTGCCCTTGACTCCTCTTTTTCTATTTCACCCTATAGCCAATCCATTGGGGCTATCATCAAAACACACACAGATCCTGTCCATTTTTTTGTCACCTTTACTGCTAACTCTCTGGACCAAACCACTGTCATCTTCTGCCTGGATTACTGCAATAGATTCCCAACTAGTCTCCCTGCTTTCACCTTACTTCCTAATTAGCTGTCAAACTAAGCTTTCTGGGGCGTGTTAGATCATGTTACTCACCTGGTCCAAGTCATCTACTAACTGTCAATTTTATTCGGAATAAGAAGATAAAGCTCATAGGCCTTAAAGGTCTTGTAGGATCCACCACCCTATTATCTCTCTGGCATTACATCCTTCTGTCTTCCTTCATTTTCCAGTCATGCTAGCCTCTTCGTTGATCCTGGAGTATCTGTTAGGGCGTTTGTACCAGCTCTTCCCTCTGCCCAGAATGGCATTCCCCCAGATGGCTGCATGTCTCTCTCCTTCATCACCTTGAAGTGTTTGCTTAAAGGTCACATTCTCATTGGGCCCTATCCTGGAAAACATATTGACAGTCTGAACACTCCTCACTCAGGCAGTACTGGTCCCCTATCTTAGTCCACTTTTTTCATTTCTCCATACCAGGTATCGCCTTCTAAAATAATATAAACTTTAATTATTCATTGTGATTATTGTTTGCTTTTGTCTCTGTCTCCCCCAATAAAATGTAAACATCTTGAAGACAGGAATTTTTTCTTCTTTTGCTTTTTTCATTGATGTATGCCCAGAACTTAAAGCAAAGCCTGAAACTCCCTGGAAAAGAGAAAATGCTGCAGTTGAATCTTGAGGGAAAATTGGAGATTCTCAGTGGTCCATGGAGGACATGCCCCAGACATGGGGACAAAAAGTCTGCTGGGATTTTGATAGGGATTGTGTTAAAGCCTTACATAAATTTAGAGAGACTTACCATTTTCGCAATATTGGGTCTTCTAATCTGTGAACACAAAATATCTCTTCAGTTATTTAGATTTTTATTTTCTTTCAGTAATGTTTTATAGTTTTTCTATGTTCAAGTCATGCATTCCCTTTGTTAAATTTGTCCCTAAGAGGTTTTATTCCTTTTATTGTTGTGAATAAGATTGTTAGTATCATTTTCAGTTTGTTGCTGGTGTATAGAAATACAATTGATACTTTTGTTTATGGACCTTGTATCCAGAGACCTTATTAAGTATATTTCTCAGCTAAAACCCCCATAACATAAGGACCTAGAGCATATAGGTGCTTAGCAAACATTTATTGTGTAAACAGCTGTACCAACAGCTCCTCACACTTAAGAGGTAAAAAGATTAACTCAACATAGAAGCTTCAAGTCAGCTGCATGGACTTTCCTTTCTATTAATCAAACAGGCTCAAAAACATCCAGTTATGCAGTGGCTCAGATTTGTTCTGAGTGTCTCATGTTTGTTCTGGAAGCACTTGGAATTCTCTAACATGGTTTGTCTTACAGGGGTTGAATTCATATCTTGCGCAGTCAGCTGACCTGAGAGCTTGTATTTCTTCCATAGGTCTTAATCTTGTCTGTAGCACAGTGACTAGCAAGTATCTAAAGAAAATGCGTAAGGAATCTGACATTTATTGAAACCTTAAACTGAGAAATTCATTGTAAACAAAAAATTATGTTTTTTTTCCTTAGAGAAGAAAATATTAGTTTCTTAGAAAAGTTTGACATACATTGCTGGTAATCAGAGTTTGACTTTCATTCTCTAACATAGCTCTCAACAGTGCTTCCATAATTTAAATAGGACTTTCTTTCACTTATAGAGTAATAGTAGTCTTAAGCTCATTTTCTCTCATCACTGTTTGGAGAGGGGAGTTAGATAAAAACATGAGAGTAAGGTTTTCAAACAGTAATATGAGGACATGAGTTTCTTGACCTAGTCTCAGATTAACTGGATGTGTTGGAGTGTATTAATTTCCTTTGGCTGCTATGACAAATTACCACAAACTGGATTGCTTAAAACAATAGAGAGTATTCTCTCACAGTCTGAAGAAGAGAAATCCAAAATCTGTATCACTGGGCTGAAACCAGGGTGTCGTCAGAACCCTGCTCCCTCTAGAGGCTCCAGGAAAGAATGTGTTTCTTGCCTCTTCCTGTCTCTGGTAGCTGCCAGGACTCCTTGGCTTATGGCTGCATCACTTCAATCTCTGCCTCCATGGTCACATTGCATTTTCTTCTTCCAGCTCTGTCAAATGTCCCTCCGCCACCATTTTATAGGAATACATGTGATGTCATTAGGGCCCACTTGGATAATCCAGAATAATCTTCCCATCTCAAGGTCCTTAACTTAATGGCACCTGTAAAGCACATTTTTGCCATATAATGCAACATTCACAGGTTCCAGGAGTGAAGACCTGGAAATATTTGGATGGGGAGATTGAGGTCATTATTCAGCATACCACACTACACAAAATATTTTCTTGATGAGTTTGGAAATTTTCATAAGAATTATTCTCCTGTAATACTAATGAATCAACTTTAGTCCTTTGTATGCAAATCTGTAACTGGCATTCTTTTCACTGTTAGGCTTCAGTGTTTGTCACCACACAGAAACTAGCTGTGGTGGAGTCTGTGTGACGCCAGCATGCTTGGGGGCTATGTGCAGAGGAGACTGAAGAGGGAGTGTGTACATTTGGAACTGGTAGAACTAAACATCTTGGGAGGCATCACTGTGGACTCTATGTCCATGAATCAGGCAGCTGACAGTGGACCCACAGCTTTCTAGGATGGCTGACACAAGCATGCAGACAGCAGCGGACAGTTATGGCTACACTGACAAGGCAGACCCCCATTACACAAGACCCCCATTACATATACAGAATTCAAACATTCCTGAAGACAAGATTCAAAAACACCCAAAGAAAAAAGTCTCTGATCTACCATGTTTCCATTCTTTTAGTTATTTGTGTGTGTGTTGTGGAAATGATAAAGTGGAATGTTACATGTAAGTTGAAACTACTAGTACTAAAAATTAGTCTCTGGGAATGTAAAATGGTACAGCCACTCTGAAAAATAATTTGGTAGTGTCCATAAAAAATAAGAATGCACTTATGGTATAACCCAGCAATCTCACTCCTGGGCATAAATTTATACCAGAGAATAGAGAACTTAAGGCCACACAGAATTCTGTACATAAATATTTATATACAGCCACTTTACTTGTAACAGTCAATAAACAGAAACAACCAAAATGTCCTACCATAGGTGAATGAGTAAACAAACTCTAGTACATTTATGCCATGGACTGCTACTCAGCAATAAAAAGAAAACAATGAGCTATTTATAAAAATGACAGCTTGGACCCATCTCAAGCACAATAAACTGAGTAAAAAAGCCAATCTCAAAAAGTCACCTACTGTATGATTCCATTTATTAAACACTCAAAAATGATGGCATTATAGATCAGTGGTTCCCAGGAGTTAGGGAAGGTAGGGGTGTGTGTGTGTGTGTGTGTGTGTGTGTGTGTGTGTGTGTTTGTGTGTGACTACAAAGTGAAGGAGATTTTGTGGTGTTGCAATAGTTCTGTATCCGCACTGTGGTGGTGGTGGTTATCTGAGCCCACATATGTCATAAAAATAACCCAGAATTGCTGGCACACTTGATGCCCATGTCAACTCCTGGTCTTGACATATTAGTGTAATTATGTGAGATGTGAAATTGGTGAAAACTGGATAGAGGGTATACTGGACTCCTTTGTTCTACTTTGCAACTTCCTATGAATCTACAACTATTTTTAGATGAAAAGTTTTAAAAAACTAAAACTTTGAAAATGTGAAAAAAATTGTTATAATTAGGAAGACACTTATGGAAAACTCATAATGAGAATGATTAGTAGAAATTGGAATGGTCTGGGTGGTTCTGAATCTGTAACCATGGGCTGTTCAGCCACTCTGATCATCCTGCTGGTGAAGGGGGGACTTCTAACCGTAAGTGAAGATACTCCAGGCTAGATAACCATCACTGTGCAATGCTGCACTGTTTTAAGCTTACATCATCACTTAAAAGCTCAGTGGGTAACATTCATCCTCAATCTTGGACTCAGTCATCATCTGTGACAATTTGTGAGGAATGCCATGAACCAGCCCCCAATTGCCTTCCTACAGACAGTTTCCTAATGTGATTTCTCATTTTATTTTGTTCTCCCCTTCCCTGGGGACAGTAAAACACCAAACCCAGGTCCTTGTGCTGATGGGAAGGAACCTGGGAAGACTGCTACAGGGGCTGGGGGCTGGAACCAGAAAGGGAAGCAAGGGTTTCTGCACAGAGAGGGGGTGACTCTGCAGCGCTGTGGTTAAGCTGCTGGCACAGAGGTATACAGCTGCATCCCCGGGTTCTGTGCGCTGAATCTTCAGAGTAGAGAATGATCCGTTAGGCATCTCAGCTGAGAATCGGTCGTTTGGCATCCCTGTCTTGTCCATAGGAGCTTGATCACGGAAGTAAATCAGGAACTCCAGTCCCTTCACTGAGGTCTGTCTATACCAGAAAACGGTGTCATGGGTAGAAATTGGCTCACATGTCAGAGTTACTGTTTGTCCCATCTTTGTCAACTGGTGCCTAGGTGTCTGGATGACTCCAGCATCTGTGGGCTCTGTGGAAGGGGACAGAGTTTGGGAACAGATTAAGGAACACAAATGGAATCATAACTGGGAATATCCAACAATGCAGATTATTTCTAGGGACTCACCTACTCCCAGGAGACAAAGGGCCACACAGCAGAGGAGCCTGGTGGCCATGGCAGGGTGGGGCAAGAGGAGGTTTCACCCTGAAGAGGCCCTTGTGGGCATAAGCAGAGGGGCGGGGACGTTGCTGTCAGTCTTTTCTCCACAAAGAGGAGAGTGGCCTGGCAGTGACATTGCTCTCTGTCACTGCTCAGAGGGCCTCCTTCCAAAAGTGAACATCAAACTTCTACAAAGATAGACTGGAGTATGTCATAACTATTCTGGGACATGGTTGGCTCATTTACAGACTCCAGCACCTCCATCTGTTGTCACTTCTCACAGCCACAGGGTTTCTGCCATTCTACCCCCTCTGAGTATCAGATAGCAACCCTCTGCTGGTATTTCCACTTGGTTTGCCACCAGCACTTCAAATTCTGGACATCAAGACAGTGTTTTCTAAATCTCAAGGCCTTCATCACTGCTCTCACTGGCAATCCCTATCATCCAGACACACAAAATCAAGATAAGTCCTTGCTGAGTTAGAGCTTTGCCCCAGATCCCTCCCAGACGCATTTTGACTTGGCCACAGTGCTCATTACCAAAGGCCTTCAATGGAAGCCCTGGGAAGAGAGAGGATTGTGAAGATGGTACTCCTAGTGAAGGTTAGAGACCAAGGCCCCTGTGCTGTGTGATACCTACCCCCAGCCCACAGCACAGTTCCTCTTGTATTTCTGCATCTCTCTATCTACCACATAGTGGGTCCCATTTGACTTCTTCACGGTAAAGCTCAAAATTGTTTTAGTCCTTCAGGCACTGGTGTGGATTGTGCAGTAGTAAATAAGGGCTTTACCTTTCCTTGAAGATCCACCATAAAGCCTCTCCAACTAATTCTAATCTTCCTCTTACATCTAGCAAAGCTCTAGAAGGCTCTTCAGTGATTAACACCTGACTTGCTCCCTACACTAAGGCAATCAGTACCCACAGATTAACTTTTTCTGGTGGTAGAGATGAACATCTGTAAAATGGCCTGGTTCTGGGATATGGATAATAATAAGATTTATGCCCATAGAGAAGAAGGTATACATTAGTTCCATGTTTTGGTGTTGGCACAGAGCTACATTCCCTCAACTCCCCAAGCCTGGCATGATGAGAGAGAGAAACACATCATGAGCTACTTGGAAGTTATGATCATGAAGTTTTCTTAATAGTAGAGACTCTGCGGTGCTCACTCCTGGTCCAGTGTTTGCTTGTTTCAGGACAGCATTTGCGGCCTGTGGATGAGGAAGGCGGAGCTGGATACAGGGCTTAGGAGGGGCCATAATAGCAGAGACAGGTAGAAAGCACTACGAATCAGGGCATGGCATTCCAGGCTGGGGAATTCTTACATGTGTCCAGGATTTACCTCCTCTAGGATACAAAAGGTCATGAAACAGGGAAGCTGCGAGCATATGACAAGCTCAGAATGAGAGTGGGCTGGCACATTCCTCAGTGCTCTGATCTTCAGTGGAGGGAAAGATCAGACTTAAAGTCACTCTAGGCCCTGGTAAATTTTTCTGGTGACATTACTGTATTTGTGGACTTCTGAAGGTTCAGATCCCTCTGAATTAGAACACAGTCAGGCCTTCCATCTCAGGACCCTGCCTGCAAAGACCTCCTCACAGCAGTAGAATGGGACCAGGTTGAGTCAAGAGAGAAGACTGTTCCAACAGCTTTTCTGAGGTCCCTGACACAGGAGCTGTTTTCCTTTTCCTCTCTCAGGACATACTGTTCTACCCAACCAGCTCCCTCTCCCCCTACTCATATGCAGGCTCTGAGGTGCCCCACAGAGCATAGACAGATGGCCTTGGAGGCACATTTCCAATATCTTTTCAGTAATGTAGCAGAGAGCTGGCTCATGATCTGCATTAACTTACAGAACAACAAGATTTCTATCAAGGTCACTTGTTCCACTAGGAAGGGGCTTCTGTTATTATGTAGGCACAACGATGGACCCTGCCCTGTCCTCCTGTCCCAGTGAGCAGTATGGGGTGGGGTCTGGCTCTACTAGAATATTGGCCATGATCTTTTAGTGTATCTATGACCCACCAAACACATGTCTCTGGGTTCATGAGACTTGGGTTGGAGGATGGAGCAGAATGAGAATCGTGTATGCTCTGTTACTTCTCCACTTGTGTGTTTTTCCTATGACACACACAAAAGCTATTTTAATTGGGACTGTATGGCACTAGTGTTGTGTGTATAAGTGGCCTCTTTTCATGGCAACCATCCCAGGCTTGCCCACAATCCCATGCTCACTATTGGTCTTAACTAATTTGCCCAAAAGCATCAGTCTTTGTGCCCTGCCTTTCTTTCTCCCACACTTTCTTAGTGTCTGTAAATCAGTTTCATGATTCAGCTACCAAGCTGGAGCTTCTCACCAAGCCACTGCCAGGTAGCTCTCTCAGCTCCTCCCAGAGCCACTGAGTGGTGGTGGAACCACAATGTCTCCTGGTGGCCAGTGGGGCAGGTCACTAGAAACAAGCCCTGTGTCAAGATCCAAAGTGAGCTATGCTGTGTTACATCCATACAGGGTCAATGGGGGAGTTATAGTTGTTGATGTTTTAGGGGTTCAAAACTAACAACTCCTCTTTCTAAGAGTGAAAACACTGGAGCAAGAGAGATTGAAGTCAGATAAATCCAAATGGCAGCTTTGGTGCTGCTGAAGGTAAGACTGAAACGTGTAGCTAGGTGGGCTAGCTAGCAGTCCCCTGAATTGAATGTGCAACCCCTGACTACCCTTTTCCCAGCAGCCAGGCTTCCGTACTAAATAGAGTCTGCTCACTAATTTTACTGTAATTCTGAGGCAGGATAACAGACAGCATCTTCCCCACAGACAGACAAATACAAAGACAGAAGTGAGAGAGTCTGATCTGAGCATGCCCAGTTCCTTCTTTCAGAAGTCACTAATCAGATAACTTAGTTCTCTGACCACAGAGAAGAATGAGGGGAAAGGAGAGAGCCAGGAACATTGCTCCACAGAACCCCCCACAAAGGAGAGTGGGAATAAGTGTTTTCTCTAAGGTTCTCAGGATTTGCGTTCTCTTAACACCGTGGACTCAGCCATTGTGCCTGTGATCAGCAAGAGAGAAGTGATCTGTTAGGGGGATTCTGTTCTCACCTTGAGGCTCTCCCTCAGTGTCCATCACTGCTCCTGGGGATGCGCTCCTGGAACGCCAGCTGGGATGCTAAGTTGGGCCTCAGAGGACAGGAAATGGTTCCCAATGGTATAGTCATTAAATAACTCCAAGGCCACACTGGCTGAAATACTTGAGAATTAGCTTTCCACTCTCCTTTCCCTCCCCAATCTGTCCTGTCATATTTCTCATTATCTCATTGTGACAAAATAGATGATCAATGACACGATTAAATAACATCATCATGAACTACCACTAGTGTACTAAAATGCCAACAATCAGAGATACCCCAAATTTGAGTATGTACTACTTCCAATATAAAATTCCTCGTAAGGGCATAGGAGAGACCAAGCTAAGTCATCAATTTTTTTTCATCAACTCTCTCTCTTTTCTCAAATCTGCAATGTTCCAGGCCTTGGCTAGTATTTATTTCCATTACAGCTTTTTATTTCTACAAGAATGATACAAATTTAATTGTTTTATTTCCTTCTGCTATGACCTAATGCTTTAAGAAATATTGTCTTTCCAAAAATTCAAAATGCTGTTAAAATACATCCTGTTCCTGTCCAACACAAGTAGCGTTAGCAATAATCACTGAACTTGACTACTTTCTTTAATTTTAGGTTTGCATCCTGGCCCAAGTCATTAATTTTTTATTGTCATTCTATACTTTTCATCTGTGATCTTCCCTAGTAAGAGATATGAAATTAACAACATCTGGGTCTTCTTAAACAAGCACTATTACAACAAATATTGCACATCTTCAATTTCCTCTGTTAAGCAATTCCATCTACAAGATATTCTCATTGTTTTGCCTGCTGCTTCTTTAATATGCCCCATTTTTTCTAAGCCTTTCCGAAGAATCATAATTTTATAAATATATTTATAAAATGTTTAAAATATATTTACATATTTTATATTTAATAGTCATGCTCGTTTAAGGCACAGGCCATAACTGATGCTGATATAATATTTGAGTATTTTCAACTGTTCTCTCCAGGAATCGCTGTCAAAACTGTCCAGTTTGTATGGAACTTTTCATACAGGTGTCACTTTGAGAACAATTCCATCTTCCTCTGGGGAGTCCTTCCAATGTGCCCTCTGAGATCCTGCATTTTCTTCCTTATTAGGCTTCTTTCAGCCCATTTATCCTGTCTTCCTTAATAACAACTAAGAAAACATCGCTCTCTTTTCTAATAACTTCTTTGAGAGCAATTGAACCCAAATGTGTTTCCTCCTACTTTAAATCTGTCTTCCCTGGCCTCGACGCCCGCCTTTTCCTTTCCATGACAATACTGTCTTTGAAGAGTTTAGCACTTCTAAGGAAATCTCTTTCTTCCTCCAGTTTAATGAATCTATATTTTTAATTTTGTTTGCAATAGTTTATAAGTAGTTAAAAAAAAGCTGGTCCCAAATTTCTTGTGTTTAAATCCCCTTTCCACCAAATATTTGGTGTATGACTTCCAGAAAATTACACAAATTTTTCTTCTTCAGTTTTTTCATCTATAAAAGGCAGTACTAATTGAATGTTTCTAGCTTGTAGTGGAATGCCCAACCCATAGTATGAACCATTTATGAACTTTCTACTGTAAATATTCTTCCTTTGTTCCTGTCCTGATGGTTAGAAGGCAGAATGATTTCAAAGCACTATAATGTCTCATCCATTCTGTTAGGAAATTTGAATTCTATGCTACATAGTATTTTAGACACAAGTCTTCTTTTAATTGTCTTCTAAGCTTATGTAATAATATTGTTGGTTGATTTTGGATCTTTGTGTATACATGATCTAAGTTATTTCTCCTTGAGAGTCTTCCTTATTACTTTTTTCTTCAAGAGAGAGGGCCTGGCCAATTTCACTTACTATCACATACAGTGAATTATTTCTGTCTGGGAGTTCACCAGTTACTCATGGTTCACTCTCTTT